AAAAAAAACAAAAGAAAAGAAAAAAACAGAAATAAACTATGTATATATACATCAGTACCTTTTTGAATCACCATTTTAGCCAAACACTTCAAAGTTTAAAACCCATATGTATGCCACATGGCAATGGCAAAACTCTTAAAACATAATTCTAAGAGTTTAGGGAATCATCTTAATCTTTGTGCAGTCAAACAACTATAAACTGAACTTCAGTTCTATTCAAAGGATGCCTTCCTCCATTAACCTACATGAGCTTCTTCCTTCGTTCTATATTCCATTTTTCTCAATTTGTATTTTTTAGTATTTTGCATTCTTACTGTTGTGATAATCAGTCTTGTAATTTTTCATGTCTATATTGGTTTGTTTTTTTTGTTTTTTTTTTTGGTGTTTAGCTGGTGTGGGGATCTGACCCTGTGACCTTGCTGTTATAAAGATGTGACCAACTGAGCTAACCAACCACCCCTATATTGGTCTTCTTAAACTACACTATAAGTATCCTGAGCGTTGAGACTGTGCCTCACAAATATGACTATTAATGAAAAGCAATGACATATTTTACCTCCATGTTACTAAAACATTCCCATACATATTACCCCCTTCTAGTTTCAACAATATCCATATTATGTGTATCCTTTACACACATATGTATACAGGCACACGTATAAACTGAGATACTTGTGATTCTGACATTTTTCTTCCTTTTTCTACCACATGTAATAGAATTTCTTGTGAATTTTGGATCCTCTACCCTTACAGGTTACTAGTTGACTATAATAAACATTCCATTACTAAGACCAAGAAAAAGCACTAGCACCTCAGATTTTAAAAATTAAGCAGTCTCAAGGCAGAAAGAATCAATATTACAAAGACGTTTCTACAGTTGATGATCGTACAAATGAAACCCTTACCTTTTGGTCCAATCTTTGCAAGAATAGAATGAATCTGTACCATTAACTCCTCATGTGGGGGAGATTCTTTGCTGGCATTCATAAGTAACTGTAACAATATTTGTGAACCACCTTTGCCAACTAAGAAACTTGCTCTTCGACCTCCACCTAAAAATTTTTTAAAAAATTTTTTTTACACAGCAAATTCTCCCATATTAGGTATCATAACGTTGGCATTCAAGAAATGTTTGAAGTGACGACTTCTAAAATCAAACTAATTCTATTGAAGTTATATTTTGCTTTATCTTATTTATTTAGTTAGAAAATAGCACACACAGAGTAAATAAACACAATTAATGCCAAAATTCTAGTCTCAAGGCTCTGAAACACATGGCTGCAGGGGTGGCTTGATGAAAATACTAAAAACAAAGTAACAACAAAAAGTATGACGTTTCACTTTCCAAATTCCAATATTCAGAATAGCCTCTATATGAGTATCAGAAAATTCCAAATAAAGTACACATGATATACTGTTGATCTTTTTTTACAAGCAGAAATTAAACCAAAGGAAACAAAAACTTACCTGCTGACAACAGCTCAACAAGAATGCTTAAGATATTAAGGGTAGTTTGAAGATCTTTCGTGTTCTGAAATAAACAGTTTATTTGCTTTATTAAAAATTGTAAATTTGTGATTCTGAAACTTTTTGTACCTGTTAGAAACTACCTATATTTTACAAATGACCTTTCTAAATTCTTTAGGAACAAATATATTCAGGTTTCCACCACTTTCTTATCACTTCAGTCTCTTCTTCTTGACTTCAAGAATTTTTACAAATCATTTGAGCTATTATTTTCTTAGTATCAACATTGTTACAAAAGGAATTAATTTGTCATTTGAATTCCTCATCTTTCTACAAAATAGATAATAAAAGTACATTAATCAAAATGTAAATGGCATTACAATGTATATATGGTGACTGCCCAGACACCTAGTTCTCCTCTCAGAAGGCAATCGTTATCAATTTCTTGTGTATCCTGCCAAAGATAATATGCACACACAAAATAAATCCATGTAAATATATATGTATATACAGATTTATTTCTTCAGATGGTATTGTCTATAGATACTATTTTGTATCTAGATATTTTACATATCAATAAATAAAGAGCTTCTTCATTCTTTTGAAGGGCTATGGGATACATTCCATTATATGGCTATGCCATTGTTTATGTAACCAGTCACCTACCCATGGGATATTTAGGTTGTTTTTAAGCTTTTGCTATTAAAAAAATTGCAACAAATAACTAAGTACATATATTTAAATGTGATAAAGTACATTTGTATGTGAGATAAATCCCTGGAATTTCTGGGTCAAAGAATATGGGTATTTATACTGATAGATATTAACAATCTGTTCTCCATGGAATAATATACACTCCCATCAGCAATGTAGGAGAGTAACTATTTCTCAGTCTGGACAATCAATCTAATAAGTGAAAATATTTAAATACTGTACTTCCGTTAACATTTCTCTTATTAAAAGTGATGGTCAACCTCCAGTGACATTTGTGTTTCTTTTTCTAGGAAATGTCTCTTCATAATCTTTACTCAGTTTTCTACTGAGTTTCTATTAGGTTTACAATCTACTGATTTGTAGAACTTCTTTATGTGATAAGGAAATTATGAGTTGAAATATTATTTCCTCAGTTTCCTAAGTATCTATGGTGTTCTTTTCCATGCACTTTTGTTAATGTGACTGAACTTATTATTTCCTCAGTTTCCTAAGTATCTATGGTGTTCTTTTCCATGCACTTTTGTTAATGTGATTGAACTTATCAATCTTTTCTTTTATAGTTTTTGTTTTTTCCATACTTCGAAAAGCCTTCCTTAATAAATTGCTCTCATTGCTTCCTCTAGAATTATGATTTCATTTTCCATTCTTAAATCTTTGCTTGATATGGAATTTATTTTGGGGTAGGATGTAGGAAGTAAGGACCCAACATTATGCTTTTCCAGATGGCTATCAATCTGTCCCAGCTCCACTTATTAAATAATCCCTCTATTCCTCACTGATCTGAAATGCTACCTTTATTAAATAATACTAGACTCCCAGAATCATTTTAATTTTTTTTTTTTTTTTTTGGATTTTCTAGTCCCTTACACTGATGTCTATCTGCTACTCATGCACAATTTCTAAACTACAAGTGTATTTCAAAAAGTTCGTCAAAAGGGGCCGGCCCGGTGGCGCACTGGATAGTGCGCCACTTGGGAAGCGCGGCGGCGCTC